CATGCCTACATTAACGACAGACAGTGAACGGAACGCCGTGTACAAACAGCTTCACTGCCGGCCTTTCGCAGTTTCCGCGTGTCCCGTGCCTGGTACTTCGACGGAAGACCTGGTGATCGAGGCCTTCACGATGTTCTCTCAGCCTCGTGAGCCGGCAACGAAGAATCGATCACGGGCAGCTGCCACTGCCTTTACCGAGTCTTATCTGGAATGGTTCGCGGAGGCGCAGACGGCGGCAGACGAAGGGCGCCTGCGGTTTGCCGAGCGGCAGGAGTATCCTTCTCTGTGGGAGACGGAGGAGTTGCAGGCTGCCATGCAGGAAAAGTTGGAGCTTGCGCAGGCGGAATTGGGCGAACAGGAGCCCGTGGTGTCTGCAGGCGCCGCTCAGCCGGGGCCGCGAGCCACGGTCGCCATGTACTCATCTATGCAAGCTCTGGAGCGAGTGGTCAATTTGGAAAGCCTGGCCCGAGCTCGGCAGGAAAAGCCCAAGAAGAGGCGAGACATGGATCAGTATCTGCAGCAAGACTTTGTGAAGATAACGATCGCTGGCGAGGTCGAGGATGTGGACGCGGACAACGAAGAGGAGTACGTGGAGGAGGGTCCGAAACGTCCATCCGCGGTGTTTCTGGTTATCACCTATCGGCCAAAGGAGGCAGAACGGCGGCAGTTGCTCGAGCTAGGCTATCAAGCCAGGAAAAATCAGTACACGAATGAGTTTTTGGAGGAGACCTGGCTCCAGCAGGATGCTTTCGAGGTGGCACGGGCCGCGCCGCCAGACCTGCACATACATAAAGCAGTGTTCACGACTTTGGGCCCATTGCGGCCAGTCTTTCGATCAACATATAGAATCGCCTTTTGTTCCGTTCTGTACCTTTTCCTTTGTGTGTTGGTCGAGAGTGTCACTCCACGCGATGTTCATGGTGATCCCTAGGAACTTCGCGCCAATATGTTGAAGTCGCTCCGAAAGAGAGAGTCAGAGAAAGAGCAGCTGGAGAGCGCGGACGACGAGCACCTGCGAGTGTTGCGAGCCTTGCTGCCGCGTCTGCCGCAAGACTGCGTGCGCTTCGCGGAGCAGACCGTGTACGAAAAGCCTTCCGAATTTTTGGCGGACATGATGTTTGCTTTGCCGGCCAAGGAGAAGCTCAACGAAGATCAGGAGTTGT